AATACAGTACTTGATTTGCCCTGGGAGAGGGTTCAACACAGACAATTTGAAGGTATTTGCCTTTGGTCGGCAGTAATAGCAAGGGACTATACTTTGAAGCTACTGTTAATTATAGTCTCACCTGCAATGTGGCTATGACAGTGAACTACACTGCAGAACTGATGCAGGAAGTCAGACTATTATTCTACCAGTTTGGATTCAGTTACTGTTGAAACTGCTCCTGTTTGATGCTGGTTCACGCCAATGACTGTTCAAATAATTCTGGTTCAGGAAATATAACCTGCTGGTACAGTTTGTGATCACATGAAAAAATGTAAATATGAGGCACATTATGTATAATGATCAGCTTTACAGGTGGCTGGAGCAAGCTAATAATCTAAAACTGCTACCAGTAAGTACTATAAAGCAGACATCAAACCAATGTAATGACAGTAATAATTCTAAGCCCCCAGAAACATATGGTAATTTTATTTGGACTGCTTAATTTTTTTTTAGTTAAACAAGGTCAAACAATAAAGGTTAATAAAATGAGGGAATCGATAGACCCCCATCCCACCCCCATGTTCTAGATTGTACTGTTGAGCCAAGATCCCATCACAAATGGGAAGCAGGCCTCCAGGGCAGTTCCTGCCTTGTGCTACACAAACACCCCGCCTGTGGATAACATAGACAAATCCTCCCAGATACTCACTTTTATTTGCTCATTCTGATTCAGCAGGAGTGTATCATGTTGGGTGTTTTGTGGTTGGTTATGAATCTTCATTCTGAACTGAGAATATGCTGCTTTTCTAGTTCTATGTATTCTTGAAGGCTTTCATGGCCAGGATCCGATGGTTGTTTGGTTGTTGTGGGTTTTCCCACAACAGATTGCTTGGATAGTTGAGCATTTATAGCTGTGGGATCAGCTTTTGTCCTGTTCAGGAGATTGGGTGATTATGACACTCATCCAGCAGATCTTTCCAGAAGACATCAAGGCCCTTTTCCAACACTGCCTAACAACCAGCTACTTTCAGTGGGATAATGATTTCTATGAACAGACAGGTGGAGTGGCCATGGGGAGCCCCCTCAGCCCGGTTATAACAAACTTCTACATGGAACATTTCAAAAAACAGGCCCTGGCTTTGTCACCCTTTGCACCCACAGTTTGGGTCTGATATGTGGATGACACCTTCGCAATTTGGAACCACGGTGAAGAAAAACTGGAAGAATTTCTAAACCACCTCAATAGCATCCATCCAAATATGCAATTCACCATGGAAAAAGAAAGAGAGGGCCAACTTCCATTCTTAGATGTCATGATCATACACAAACCTGACTGCTTATCGGGACACAAGGTCTACAGAAAACCACACACACAGACCGGTACCTACACAAAAACTGCCATCACCACCATCAGCAAAAAAGAGGCATAATCAAAACACTGGCAGACTGTGCTAATTGGAACTGTGAAGCTCAATTTGTCACCACTGAACTCAACCATCTGAATTAGGCTCTACAGGCAAATGGCAACTCCAAGAATGAGATCACAAGAGCCGTCAAACCAAGAAAACTACACCAAACTGAAGAGGAAAAACAGCCACCCACACCAGGAATTATTATGTTAGCACAGGGAAGCCATTGAAATCCACAAACACCAGCAGAGCTTCAACAAAAAAGAAGAAAGTTTAAAACTCAACAAAGCCTGGCTCCCAGCACTGAAAAATACAGCCTGCAAAAGGTCAGTGAACTCTACCCAGCCACAAGGACCGGTGATCACTGCACACAAAAGACCAGCTAATGACACCCATCAATCACAGTGACAGATAATCTCTCCCCCTTATCATAATACACCCACAACAAAAAACACGATGATCACCATAATCACCTGAACAGGACAAAAGCTGATCCCACAGCTATACTCAACTATCCAAGCAAACTGTACCAGAGTACAGACAGAGTTCTGACTCCTGTCCTCTGAAGATGCAGGCCACAGAGACTGGTGAAACGTTAGGAAGAAAAACCTTAAGAACACAGCCAAACAATCCTGAAAACCCAGAGCAACCATTTTCTAGTTCTGTTTAAATGTTCTTTTCAACTGTGTTTGAGATAACGGTAGAGGTCTCTTCTGTTCTCATTCAAGGAGAAAATAAGTATTTGATCTGCAGTTTGATCTGGCTTGGTTTGGCTCTATGGACTGTTGTACATTATACTCTCACATTTTTTTAAACACCAGCCCTGGTTCAACCTCAGAGTCAGTGGACAACAAACAACATGGGCATGTTCCTTTTGATGAGGAGATGAGGAGCTTCATATCCAGCTGGAGATGGGGAAAAGTACTTTCTAGGGCCATAATTTCCAGAATCCTAAAGCCAGATATGAATGGCTGTGGAATACTGGGAATTATAGTTCAATAAATGGCTTTTTTCATTTCTGCTTTCCCAACTACATTACAAAGTGTGCTGTATATTGCTCCACAGCACTTAAAGCACTTTCTGGGAGGTTTACAAGTTAATTATGCAGGTGACACATTACACACACACACACACCCAGTGGGCTGGGTACTTAATTTACCAATCTCAGGAAGACAGAAGGCTGAGTCAACCTTGAATCGGTGACTTGAACCCTTTGGGATTAAACTCAGGTTGTCAGCAGAATCTTGACTGTAGTACTGCAGTTTAGTATCTACACAAGGCTCATTATATTATACTTACTTTCTCTGAGGAAGTTCCTTCAGGATTTTATAAATGGTTAGACGTCTCATTGCTCCCCCTACCTCCCAAAGTTCTGACCTTTTTCTTTTGCCCTATTGACTCAGCCAATACTGTATTCCATTGCTACCGAATTACACTGAAGCTACTGAGAGTTCTTCTGAAGCCCCAACCCACAAAAAGATTTTTGCCTACTGGTAAAGCTGATGGTCACCTCAGTTCTGTCAACAGGTCCCTTTCTTGTATCTAGAAATTTGTCTCAAAGCCCCACAAGGATGCAAAGAACTGAATCAGTACAGCTCCCACCATCCTTACCCAACTTGCGATGCTTTCTTGGGACAATGGGAACTGTAGTCTACACAGATGAGGCACAGCCATAAATCAGGATGGGTTGTATACATGATGAGCACAAGAATTTTGTAAATGATAAGAACCCTAGACCAGGTGGCTTTACAAGCGCGACAGAACACTCATCTTTGGAAATCTCTGAGGGACACATGGCTGGATCAGTGCAGGAGGACAGTCAGGCCTTAAATCAGCAGCATTTTTGACAACTTTCTTACCTATCCCGCTTTCTCACTGTGCAGCAGTACCAGTAATTTGCCACAAGGCTGTATCATAGGTGGTTCAACAGTGTAAAATGCTTTACCACCTTCAGTTCATTGGCCCAGATTTCTGAAGGGAGAGGACAAGACTTTTCTCCCATCGTATGACTGTGAAAGAGAATATTCAGATCTAGAAGGAAAAAAAAAAAAAAACCAGAAGCGCACTGACTCTTCCCCTTCCTGTTTTATCATTCAACCACCGCATGCCCTTTCGCCTGAAATGGCATGGCTGCATTTTTAAAAGGCAGGCAAACATAATTGCAGAAGCTGAGTGAGACCCTGGTGTTTGTTGCAGGATGACTGCAGGACCATTGTGGAGCTGCCAAGCACGTGGCAGGTCCCCTACATAGGCAGGTAGCCCCTGGCGCGCGGTGGGTCACCAGTACGCAGGCCAGCCCTAGATTTACAGAATGCAAACATGGATACTCTTCCAAGTGAAGGCATCACTTAATTCCTCTTCAAATGGCTGCCACATTGGAGCAGGCATTTTAAAAAGCAGCTTTCAGAAGATATCTCAAAGGCAGCACTACTTTTCAAAGCAGTCTCGCTCAGGAGGTACAGGCTTCTTTTTTACAGTTACATTATTAAAATGTCGGCGACCGCCAGGAGAAGCAGCGAGCAGGCTTATTTGCTTGCATCTGCAAGACTAGATCGTTCCTGCAAATGCTGGAGACACTACAGTCATACTTCTGGATTGCTGAGAAGAACAGAGGGTCCACCACCTTGCCCCTCTTCCTCCTCCCCCCCCCAAAAAGCTTAAAGATGATTCAGGAGAACAAGGGATGTGGGTCGGAGGGTGCTGAACCCATTCTCACCTTATTACAGGCAGGAACGCATTCAAGTCAGATGCCTAAAACTCAGCTCAGTGGTTCAAGCGTTCCTGGGTCTTGCCACACTGTTTCCTGCCAATATTCCCAGGGGAAAGAACAGCGCAGAGGTAAGCAGTGGCGACACTGGAAAAGATGTGTATGGATTTAAGGAGCAGAAAACAACACTGGAAGAGGGATATGCAGGCTGTTTCTGAGACTCCAGCAGGCACCGACCCTGTTCCCCTGCCCAAAGCAATCCTAATTAGTGTAGCTGCCTTTTCCTTATGTGCTGTCAAGTCCCCTCCAACTTATGGCCACCCTATGAATGGACTACCTCCAAAATGTCCTGTCAACAAACGTCCCCTCCCAGCTCTTCTAGATTCAAGTCTGTGGCTTCCTTTAGAGAGTCAGTCCAGCTCATATTTGGTCTCCCCCTCTTCTTGCTGCCCTCAATCTTTCCCAGCATATCTTTTTTCCAGAGAACCCTGCATTCTCATGATGTGCCCAAAGTAGGACAGCTTCAGTTTCAGCCTCTTTGTCTCCGGAGAGAGTTCAGGCTTGACGTGAGCTAGGACCCACTTGTCTGTCTTTCTGGTAGGCCAGGGTATCCACAAAGATAAGCATCTTGAAGTGTTACTCTTTGTGCTAAAGAGGGGGAGCCACCTACCTATTCAAATTAGGATTTAAAAAAAAACCAGATAACTAAAACAGGAAATCTAAAAAGGCATGATGTATAATTTTGCATGATTTATTCTAATCATACTGAACATGTGGATTTTGATTTTTCATAACAGTATACGTTTGATTTTTAGCCTACTTGAAAACAAACTTTGTTTGTGAAAAGAATAGAAACAAAAATGCTTTAAAATAGTCATCAAGCATTGGACACGCACACACACTCAAAACTTTGCAATTTTATTATTATTGTTTTTGGCATACTATATTCCAAGTGATTCCCATGGCTTTATACAGAAGCCAGTGAGCTGTGTGTTTTGGTTCAAGCACGGTGTGTGTATGTGTGTGTGTGTGCGCGCGCGCATATGCACACAGGTGCATGACTGTGTGTTTGGGAAAAAGGGGAAATGTTAATCCAGCCCCTTCGCCCACCGTCAGTGTTGCTGGTCATGGAGTCATATTTGCAAGGAGCTTCTGCTCCCCTATGGCAATTGGGTGGGAAATCCTTTCTCCCCTGTGACTCCAAATCTTCTGGCTCAGCCGTGTGCACTCCCTTGAAAGGTTCTGACCTGTAAAAGAAACGCCACAGTCACAGCAGATTGGACACCTTCCCTGGCATGAAACGCACCACATCAAGCTCTAGATCCTACCACAAAGGAGAAGAACCTTCTGTTATGTGTTATCTGTGTTTTCCTCCCAATATTCCCTCCCTCTGGGAATCAGAAGAGAAACAGCCACCACCCCCTTCTTCTCTTCTTCTTCTGATCCCTCAATTGTGCCAAGTCCTTGGTGCTTGTTCTTCTACAGCCATCATATGCCCATAATCCAGAGTGGTCATTTCCGGAAATTGAACACCTCTCTTGTTTTCAGTCCTCTCCTGCTGTCATTCCCTGGCTTGGGGGAAGGTTCATCGACCATACCCCCATAGGGGCAGCTGTCGGAGTCTGGGTGGTTGCCAGTACACTCCACGGCAGGGATGTAGCCACTGTCCCACATGCCTGTTCCACAGAGTTTACACAAATCATGAAGACTGCAAGGGATCCGGGGCAGCAGACGGAACTGATAAAGTAAACTTCTAGCCTGGAAGAGATAACAGTACTAGATGTTAAGCAACACAGGCAAGAGCAGCACAAAATATAAGGTACACCAAAGGTTGCCATTGTATAGTCTCCTCTCCCTGTCCACATGTATCTCATTTGTGTGGACCCTGGAATTCCCCAGTTTCCCCCTCAATGGAAAAAAAAACTTCCAGCCAAAATTGGGAGTACTGTACCTCCAAATAATCTGGTGTATGTACAGAAATAGGATGGCCATGGTTTAGGAGTGTGCCATCCAGCTCCCCCCCCCCCACTTATGGACTCCAACTCTCAGAACTCTAAGAGTTCCAGACACACACATACATTTCACTCACCTGAAACACGGCCTACCTTGGAGGCCTCTGAGGCCGGTATCCTGTTGTTAATGTACAAAAAGGGAAATTGTCCCAGAGCCTTCTGGGAAGCCTAGGTCTTCATGGGAGTTGTAGTCTTGCTGCTCGTTTGGCCCTACAGAGATACAGTCCCAAAGCAGTATACAGTCCACAAAGACCTCAACTTCCCAAGCAGCACTGGGCAGTTTCCTTTTCTGTACAACAACAACAGGAAACACAGCCCTCAGAAGCCACCAAAGTAGGCCCTGTTCCAGATGAGTGAAAGGTAGATTTGCATATGTTTGTATCTGTGGGCTAGAACTTCCAGAGTTCTGCCTGGGGAATACTTGGAGAATGTTGGGAGTAGGGAGACCAAGAAGGGAAGGGAAGAGAAAGAAAGAGAAAAGGAGGGAAGGAAGGAAAGGAAAAGCAGGAACATTCCTGGTGGGGCCCTCAGGCCACTCTGGAGTACAGAGAAGAACCATTGGGCTTATTGCAGGCTGAAAGTAGAAGGGGTTTTGCTTCCAAACTTTGGATTTTTTTTTTTTTACCTTCCTGAGTACGAGCTCCCCATTCATGTGCATTGCCAAGTTCCCAAAGTGCAGCAGCATCTGGTCAGTCGCCAGCTGCTGTTCAATGACATCATCTCCATAGATCACCACAATAGCTACACAGATGAAGAGATGGAAATAGTCTGTCTGCAGCAGTAAAAGCAGAAAAGCACAAGGTTGAAGAGGTTGGATTAGAACCCTCATCCTTCTTTGACTGCATTTTTGGTTTGTTAAAAAAAGACAATGAACAGAAACACGACAGAGAAAACCTATGCAGTCATGAATAAACTGAGAAGATAGAAGGGAGAAATTATTCACTTTCAACCTCTGAAACTGTTAGGTAGCTGTTCTACCTAATACTACGAAAGGCACTTCACTGTGTAGACCTAATACAAGACAGTAGTTAGAGTTGGGAGTAGGAAAATTTGGTTCAAATGCCCTCTCAGCCACAAATTAAGGGGGGGGGGAATCTAGAGCTCTCATCTGCCTCTGAGACACTGAAACCCCTGGGCAGTCACTTGTTTTGCTGACACAGCACGCAGGCACAAAGAACATTTCAAACTCTTTATCCTGATGTGCAGCCTTAGCATGTGCAACATTTCCTCACTAGCACTGCTTCCACTGAGGCACGGCTGCATCGTTGGGCAGTGTCCCCAATGTAAACAACATTCTTCCAAAGCCTTCTCCTGACCAAGGCCTTGCTATGGGTATGAGTGTTTACTGCGCAGAGATGCTGGTTAAACTGAAAACCTCTTTAGAGAGGAGGCTGTTATGGATGCTACAGTCCCCAAACAGCAACGGATTAACGAGAAGAGGAGGAAAACAAGGCCCTGCTGGTCAAATTATCAAACAACCCTCCAAGATTACAGAAAATGATAAGAGGAGGAAAACAAGGCCCTGCTGGTCAAGTTATCAAACAACCCTCCAAGATACAGAAAATGATAGGAAATTGTGCCTTGTTTTTTTTTGCTTCCAAGAGTATTTTGTAGGGTGAGGAAATTCAATAGTTAATTTCTAAAAACAATTAAAAGTGATACTTCTCTAAACAAATTGTCAAAGTATGTTATGGATGTGAAAAGCTTTATCAATCTTCATTTGAATATGTGTTGTAACATTTAAAAAAAAAGACATAAAAAGCAAAATATAGAAACCAGTCTCCTTGTTCATGCACTTCCTCATTTAAGCCACATCCCATTGGAAGCAGCAAAAAGGAGAAGACTGAATGGTAGATGGATTGACTCATTAAAGGAAGCCACGACCTTGAATTTGGAAAAGCTGAGCAGGGCTCTTAACAATAGGACCTCTTGGAGGTCACTAATTCATAAGGTCACCACACACTGTTAACAATCTGACAGCACACAACAACAATGAAGAAGACCTGTATTGAGACGCGCTAATGTCAAGGTTTAAATATTCCTTCCAGAGGTGTCTCAAAATGTGTGAATTCACACATGCACGCCAAGAGCAAACCAATTGTTAACAGCAGATAGTACACACCTCAGGAGCTGTCAAGTCTTAAACTGCACATACGCAAAGCCATTTCATGCCTAGATAAGCTCATACCTTGTAAAAATGTGAACTAGGGCAAAAATCCTACACACTTATCCAGGATTAAGTCCCGTTGAGCTTACTGACCTTCCAATGAGCTCACTTAAGACTTTCATCTCAATAGATATATAGAACTGCCTTGTACATCATGTTAGAAGAGATTAAAGAAGATCACATTAGAAGAATATATGAAAGCTTATCAGAGCTAGCGGTGACTGATGTAAAATGACTGCTTTTACAACAAATCCAAGGAAAGACAGTGCTAACTAGGCACTGGATGCACCTGAGGAAGTGAGCAACAGTCCACAAACATGTATGTGAAATAAAACGTATTAGTCTTTATGGTGCAGCAGGACACTGACTGAGATCCTGTTGCTCAGCATAGTTAGTTGCACTAAAGAAGACCCGTTGAATCAATGGGGATTTCGTGAGTCAACTCTCTAAGTTCAGTTGATTCAAATAGACTGACACTAGTTGTGACATACTACACAACTGGAGTGGCAACTAGATTAGGCCTATTTGAACCAATGGAACCTACAGAGGAGCTGTCTCACCAAATCCCCACTGATTCAATGAGCCTACTCTCATGTGACTTATTGTGCTGAGCAACAAGATCCTGCCCACTGATTTGCTGCAATAAGTACTAACTATCAGCAACTGTCACTGGAAGGACAGATCCTGAAGCTGAGTCTCCAATACTTTGGCCATCTCATAAGAAGAGAAGACTCCCTGGAAAAGACCCTGATGTTGGGAAAGTGTGAAGGCAAGAGGAGAAGGGGACGACAGAGGATGAGATGGTTGGACAGTGTCATCGAAGCTACCAACATGAATTTGACCAAACTTCGCAGTGGAAGATAGGACTGGCATGCTCTGGTCCATGGGGTCATGAAGAGTCGGACCCGACTTAACAACTAAACAACAACAACAACAAAATGAGCAACTTACTGTATATGACCATCCTGTGTAGCTATCAAATCTTCCTGAACTGTTTGTCCAGCCATAATCAGAGGACCGTACTGAATTACACCAAATTGCCCTTTCTTCCAAAGCTTCATCTGTGGGCCTCTAATTGCAATATCAACTAGAGAGTTCCTTATAGTTTTGGCAGGTTCCTATGCTGCCCCCTGCTGTAAGATAAACCAAGGTCCGATGCTTCCAACGGTACCAAGGCCAACATGCACACCAAACAGTCCCACAGTACTGAAATAAGACTATAGTACAATAACAACACTCCATGCAGGAGCCCATATTTCCAAAAGCAATGTATATCTCTCTTGGATCACAGCCTTGGGGGGGGGGCAGGTGGAGGAAGAGATCAAAGTGACATGCAAAATACTCAGAGGTGTTCCAAGAGACTTCTGAATATTGACAAAGTGAAACATTTGCAGCTAAAATGCATAACCAGTTGCTTCGTCTGTTACAGAATTAAGTCCTTCTCCTTGTATTCTGTTTTGGTTTTCTTAGAATGGGAATTGCTCTCAGCTCTTTGGCTCAGAGCAGGGCAGCCGAGGCCAGGGGGCAGCTAAGCCCCTTCCTACCTCCTTCTCCCTACAAACTCCCAACCATCTCTCTTCAGCGGTCTCCTCCCCACTTTCCGCTCCCTCCCAGATCACAACCAGAGAGCAACCATCTGGCAGAGTGAAATCTGAGTGAAATATAGTTAACCATTTTGGGGGGCAGCCCTCTTCTTCCAAGCCCCCCCCCAAAAAAAGCCTTACCTGGTAGTGAGCCCAGCAGGCTTCCCATATCCTCAGAGCCTCAGCATCGGGGAACTCTCGCTTGAAGCAGAGGAGGATCCAGCGGTGGCAGAAGAGCATCTGGAGGCCGTCCTCCCCGAGGGAGACCAGGTGGTGGTAGAAGCGTGGATGCATCAGCCGCAGCAGTTCACGTAGGTACATCTGCAAAGGGGAAACAGGGCTTAGCTCCCAGTTTGGAAAAGCTACTGCTTCCAGGCGACAGCTCCCAGAGCCAGCCCAGTCCTGGGAGCTCTCATCCAAAACAATGACTTCTCCGGGCAATGGCTTAACTTTGCCTATTGTTTCACCTATTGTTGAGTGGTGGCGGTGGTGGGGAACGGAGAGAACTAAGGTCAAAGGTGGGTGGGTTCTGCAGTGGAAATCCTCACCAGTTGTTTCTCCATGTCTTCATCGCGAGGGGAGCTGATGAATATAGTGTTCTGCATCAAGCCCACAAAGCACCAGAACGTGTCCGACTCATCCAGGACCTCAGCGAGGATGGGGGCCACGAGGTCCGACATGCCCTGGGAGTAGCCTATGGTGGGGCTGTACACGGCATAATTCAGCAAGATTCGCCTAGGAAAAGGACAGGGCAGAGGAGACCGGGAGGTGAAGGTGGGGCAGGGGAGGTCAGGAGGAGGAGCCCTGCTCTTCTCCTGCCAGAACATCCATCAGTAAGGAAGGAGCAACTCAAAAGAAAGACCAAAAGGGAATGAGAACTGTGAAACAGAAGAAAAACTACACCTAGCTTCAAGAGAAACACTAGCTATTTCATACTGTTCAGTGGGATTGCAGAGAAGTAAACTTATATCATCAGCACCCCAGCTCAGAGAAGTGGCTTTGTTTAGACCAGTGGTTCTTAAACTTTGTTACTCGGATGTTTTTGAACTGCAGTTCCTAGAAACCCCAGCCAGCACAGTTGGTAGTGAAGGCTTCTGGGAATTGCAGTCCAAAACTCCCGAGTAACCCAAGGTTAAGAACCAGTGGTTTAGACTATCACTTGAACAATTTCCCCAAATGGCCTTTGACCTTCTGCCAGCCAGAGGATTCTGGGAGTTATCATCCAAAGGACCAACTTTTCAAAAACACTGGCGAGTTCTCACCCCTGCTAGATTTTTATCTAAGAGTATGGTCTATGGAACGTGGTGGAACTGGCCAGACATGACAAGGATTGCACCATCCTGCCTTAACAGTTGGAACGTGAGAGACAAGCAAGTGTAACCAATGTGACATTTTGAAGAGTTTTGACTCCATCACAGCTCTTTGTAGAGCAGGGCACCACACTCTAACCACTGTACATGGATATACTCCCTGATTTTAACTGAAAACTGGCTTAATGTGTCAATTTGCTAATGCTGTCTTTCCTTATCTGTTATAAAAGGTTTTTAACCTTTTGAATATGGATGACAGGAGAGTGTATCATATTGTTTGGGATAAAACATATCATTTGGTCAGTTGGGGGATACCTCAGCTTTGTTGATGTGCTGATGCTCAGGCATACAGCTCTTGAAAGACTTGTGTGCCTAGAGGGATACCAGTGTAAGAGAAGGAAATATGTATTTCCTTTAAGGTATGATGTGTCCCTAGGTGGGTCTTAGGCAAGCCACTCTCCCTTAGCCTCAGGCACTCCAACTGTAATATGTAGGTTATAATACAGACCTGTCTCGTGGATTTTTAGTTACGGATTATATACCAATCATGCATGTGAAGGAACTGAAAGTGCTGTAGAAAAGTAGTGATCCTGCCTGTTTGCAAAAGGATCTCTGCCTCTTTTAAGATTTGGCCAGAATACCTTCGATGTAATGGATCTGGTTTGTCCAGGTGGACACAAAGTTTTGATTGCATACTTCGGGATTGCACACGGTGGGATAAAACAATCACCTCATTGTTTCCACATTGGGATTATTCTCTCCTCGGAAGAACTGGTTACTGCGGTCAGTCCTCACCACGTCTTTGTCGACGGTGAACTGCACATCCCGCCAGAATGCCTTCTGCTCTTCTGGAGGCAGGGAGAGCCTGAGCATCACATAGCAGTGTGAATAGATCCCATTCCCCACAAAACAAGCAAGCGCACAAACAAACAAACAGACAAACAGGCAATCACTGCTGAATTTGTTGATGAGGGACCTGGGGATGTTCTCAGTAAAAGGCCAAAATCAAAGAAAAGTGGAACACTCGTGGGAACCAAGCAGCTGCTTTCCTTCCTCAAACAGACCTAATTAGGAGGGATTCTCAAGGTCAAACTAGACTATACAGTCAGCACTTCATTAGAAACTGAGATCCCTCAAGAGGTAAAAGACATCTGTTTATTCCATCCCAAGCTTTCCACACTTTTGACAAAATCAGCTTTTGTCAAGCTGCATTTGCAAGTCTTGACTGCGTAGACACCATAGCTTTGCCGGAACTGTAACAGCCAGAAAATCTAAAGAAACAAAACAAAGCAAATAACAAAACAAAACAAGAAAAAACATGTGGCACCTTAAAGACTAACTATTATATTTTAATGTGAGTTTTCATGGACACATTCACTTCATCAAGACATATGGAATCAGAATGAAATGTTGAATGAAATATCAGTTTCATACTAAATATTCATTGGCTTTTGGGTGTCTGGTACATTTACATCCACCAAGAGAAAACATTTTGTCAGCTGCTAATGGGCAAGCTGGTATCTCATCAGCTTGCCCCATATGATGATAAAGGAAGGCTGTACAGACATCTCATGATGACCATGTCACAGAAGAAGCTCAAGATAACCGTTACTCAAGAGCTTGAGGATCTCAACAAGCCTAATTAAAATTGTGCCTGTACAGTTGTGCACATTGCTCGGCTTTGGGCTGTACACAGATCAGCCTTTCCTAGCCCAGAGTTGGTCTACAACTCCCAAAATCCCCTACTCAGTAAGACTGGAATAATAAAGTACTGTACTATTCCAGTGTTCTAGATAGCACTTCTACTTTTTCCCTCAACCTGGCAGAAACACTTCAGGCAGATACAGATATTTTGGTGAAACTGTTTAGGGTGCATCTGTTGGACCATGTCTGTGTCAACTGGTGAGTCAACACAAAGCATTTCTGAAACTTACTTGAAAGGTGTCATTCTAACGGGTAAAAACTGCATCTGATTTGACTGACTTCAGCCACACTACTCCGCTTGGCAAACTTCAAGTAGGAACAATTAAGGAAAAAGGTGCCAAACACCCGTTCTCTTTTCCACATTACATCTGAACAATTATCAAGTTACTAAGGCCGGCTCAGGGATACTGCTTCTGCAGATGTGAAGCAAAGGTAGGGAATGGGCAGCCTTCCAGACAGGACATTACCCCCCACTCGGTTGGACTGCAGTTCCCATCAGCATGATCAGATGTGAGGGATGATGGAACTTGCAGTCCTATGGCATCAGAAAGGCCACACATTGACCCCTCCTACAGTCAAGGGCAACTGCTCTCACTGCCCCAGGGAATCCATCTTCTATAAACACCTTTAACTATCTTCTCACCAAGTGTCAGAAAGTTCTCAGGCTGGAGACGTCTTTGGTGGGGAAGGAAGGGAGAGAAGATGGCACTAATCACAAGGTTTCCAGATCTCAGTGTTTAACACCCCCTGCTTAGAAAACCTTTTGAGCAAAACAGACAACAATATGTTGGCCAACGTCAGGAGACTACACAGTAGGTGGCACCCCCGGTTTACCTTTTCTGCTGGATCTCAAAGTACTCTTCTCTCTTCTGCACTCGGAGCGCCTCCCGTTCCTCTGAAGTGGATGCATAGCTATAGTAGCCCAATAAAAAAGGCCAGACCTCGCCACGAATGGAGACATCTATCCCACCAAAGAAAATAGCCTGGGGAGGGAGGGGAAAAGAATAAGGAATTGCCACAGAAGGGACGGAGGGGGTGGAAATAAAAAGAAATGTCACTTTTGGAAAATGAACCCCTTTTGCTCTCTCCTGACAAGTGATGCCTTGATTCAGGAGCCCGCAATCTGTACTTGTTCAGAGGGAACGCAGGCCCCCCCCTTTTCCCAGGGGAGGCATAAATCAAACTCATTTCAATGTCAATAACCCCCCGGGAGGGCCTATACAATTCATGCATCATTCTCACGTCACAGCTTAATCCCCAATCTTGGAAACTTCACACTCAGACCAGCCTTGCATACCTTCCCTGCCCCTTAATTATTTTAAGCCCCGGCAGCTTCAACTGCTTTCCCTGGGCTTGCAATACTCGTAAATCACCCCTTGGAAAACCCACAGGTACCTGCATCCCAAGGAGCTGGAGCAGTGAGAAATACTATCTTACTCTGTATAGACCCAACTCACTTCTCTCTCCACTTCAAGTATTAGTATCATCATCATCGTCATCATCACTAACAACAAAAGTACATTATATCCACAGTAGACCTTTGGTCTAGATGAGTGGGATAGAAATCCAATAAATAAAATAAATCCCACACCACCACTAAGCTATGGTTCTTCTCCACAGCTTTTAATTTTCATACTGGTTCAATAACCCCCCCCCCCCCGGTGGGTTTCATGGCAGGGTGATTTCAACAGAGGTCTCCCATGCCTCATTGCAACATTACTTGCTCCAAAGATTATGCGTTAGGAATATATTCCTGGAAGAATATCTCAGCAGTTCCAGATTCTACGGGGAGTCCTCCTTCCGTTGAAAGCAAGCAGGCAAAAGGGGCTGGAATGGCTTCTCACTCACCTTCCTCAGCTTGTACTCTTCCTCTACCTGTCCAGCCTCATTTAGATGATGGAGCCAGGCAGAAACATCCAGACGCTTGTAAGTGTTTTCTTCAGGATGAGTCTCTGAGGAGGGCAGCTTGGGTCGGCGGATGGAGAACTGCATGCAGGTCTTCACATCTGTGAGCTGCTAATTGGGCAACAAAGCGGGAGAGTGGGCCAGTTGCAGGAGACTGCCCTCCGTTTCCACTGCCTTGACATCTACATGTAGGTCATCAAGGTGGCATGGCCAATTCTGCCTTCCATCTGTTCTGGAAGCACCCACTACCCCTCGGAAGGCTTCTGGGAGGGCCTCTGGCCCAAACCAGTGAATATAATTAGAGTAATTAAGGATCAGAGTGACAGAAAACTGCTTCCTTAAGCTTCTTTCCTTTCCCACCCCTCCCTACCCGAGATCAGAGTGAACACAGCTTGCAGCAATATCTTGAGTCAGCCCAGGAATGCATGCAATAAATTACATCTGATTGGGTGCATACAAAAGGACTGCTGTTAGCCAGGAGAAAAGTGCTGGTGCCAAGCTCTCCAAGAGGACATTTACCATTCTAGAGTGAAAACTGCAGCTGACAATTAATTTAAAAATCAAAAGGTTGCTCTGCACAGATGCAAGTCCCCCTGGTACTATAAGGAGAGAAAAACAGCAGAAAGAAAATGGGTGGATGGGTGGATGTGAGGCCATTGAGGAGTACTGTACAAGTATTAAAAATCAGCATTTGTACAAAGCATTTCTAGTGTCTTTAAACATATAATAAAGGCATTTGAAAGGCCTTTGTAAAGACTGACGTGAGATATGGCAATACGCCTTGTCAAAATATCATTTGAATAAGATGGTAGGAAGTCTTAAAGCAAACAGTCAGGACAAACCTCAGAGACAGGGTGTGCTAATGAAGATCGAGATGCATTGGAAACTAGAGGCCAAACTGCATCCTTTCTATGGGCATTTATGGTATTTACCTGGCCTCTCATCAAACATAAAGAAAAACCAGGGAAATTAAGTCTGCTGCACAGTTTCCTTTTAGAAGACAGCTGGCTTACCTTGAAGCATTGTTAAGGGCATCAATGAGCAAAGGACATGAAACCAGGCCCAAATCATGGCAACTAAAATAAAATATTATACAGCAGACCCTTTATCTTTTGAAATAATCTCTTTTATTTATATAAACCATCTTCCTACCAGAAGAACATGATCTGACAACTCTATGTGAATTTACTCTGCTCACCCCAATTTTTATATTAGATGTTACCCCTCTCATTTAGCTGAGTAAGAAAGCAAGGAAACCCTTTTCCCAGAACAAAATTAAACAACGCAACAGCATCAGAATGCTTGTGTTTGCAACCCTTTACAGTTCTCAAAATAGGTGAGAAGCAGGAAGAGAGACAGCTGACATTTCCTACACTTGGTGCCTTTCATCTACAGCTAGAAAGCCACAAACGCCTTCCTGTGTAACCAGCACTGAGGGTGCATATCTATGCTCCACTGTGAATGCTGCCGCTTACCTGGTCTTTGAGATGGGTCTCTGTGCAGTATTTCCATTGCTGAAACACTTCAGAAAGCTTATCCAGGCCACCATGGTGAAAGTGGAAAATTTTATATTGGCTCTCCCTACTAGCAACAACCAGCTGCCCACTGGTGCATGCCTCGTCACTGAAGGAATATAGGTAGGGGAAGAAGACAGAATACAGAGGGAAGAGCAGTATTTACTAGCCAGAACATCAGGGGTGAAACATTCTCAAGCAGAGGTAGCACAGGCCATATCTGTGAATGCTAAGTAGATGCACACCATGACTGAGATGCAATGTTCTCAGCTGCACTTTCAATAATTGGGAAGTATAGTGGTCAGGGAGGTGACAATCCTTGGAAAAGAGCAGTGCCTAATGAAGAAATCAACGTGATCTTCTCTGACTTTCCAGACGTCAGGCCTCTGTGAAAGTGGGAAACTTCTATTGCCCTCCTTCTCTTCCCACAAGCTCCTCTGCCCCCAACAGCCTCTTCTCTTTCCCTCTCTCTGCCCCTGCCAGCTTCCCTATAGACTCCACCTGAAATGGGAAGTTTTCAGGAAACTCCAAACAACAATCAACAGGAATTGTGAAAATTACCTGGCATTACTTTGCAACTTACATTCTGAGAACATATTTGCCCCTTCCTGATGCAGAAGTTGCTTTTCATTTTTATTCTTTCCTTTTCTCTCCAACCCTACAGAACACACACTGCTCTCTCATTTCATGACCCAACTGGTGCTCTTGAAGTTTTACAAAATCAAGGTGTACCACACCCTTCCCTGCACCCAAAGAAGAAGAAGTGTTTTGCTCGCATCTGGTAGCACTTATCAGGTTGTTTATGGTAATCAACCAAAGCCTGAGTATGTTATGCACTGTACAAACAAAAAGGGTATCAGTTGGAAATGTGTTGCCCAGAGTAGATCTCAAGGATATGTATCTGGGCGAAGCTATTGAGCAGCCAGCTGCCAGGACCGGTTTGCTTCTTAAATAAACTCCATGTTGCATGGCATAAATAATGACCCCCAGTAGGCAGACCTACAAGAGAGATGATAGGTGAATGAGAAGGGTTATTAGATACAGAATGACCCCTTTTAACGGGCTTCCCCTTTGTGGTGTGTGATTGTGTGTGCGTTGGGGGAGGGGGGATAACAGGCAGCCCGGGATGTGTTGTGGATAACTATTACAGTGGGGTCTTGACTTGAGAACTTAATCCGTATTGGAAGGCGGTTCTCAAGTCAAAAAGTTCTCAGGTCAAATCTGCATTTCCCATAGGAAGGCATTGAAAACCATTTGATCCGTATCTGCTCTTTTCCGTCCATAGAAACTAATGGCAAGCTGCTATTCCGCCTTCGACCACTAGAGGGGGGATATTTTGTTTCTTTTTTTCTTAGGTCAAGAAAGGTTCAGGGAAGGCAGGGAAAATACAGTCCAGGCAGTACCAGGCAGTCCGAAGACTGTCTCCCAATCCAATCTCTAAACGCTGGGAGGAGTGAGGAAGCAGACAGGCACCCTTTTCACTGGCCAACAGTTAACTGAAAGTTCACATTTTGCACTTTCCCTGCCTCCCACGTGGTTTTTTTCAGTTCTTAACTCAAATCTAAGTATGTAAGTCAAGTCAATATTTTCCTATGAGAGTGGTTCTTAAGTCAAAATGTTCTTAACTCGAGCCGTTCTTAAGTCAAGACCCCACTGTAGTTGCTTAGACTGTCAGGAATCCCAGCTTTTACGGGTAAAGGAATATTTCTAGCTTTCACGTTGGCACATAGAATTCTAATAGGAAACAAACATTTTCTAGCTGTCATTGTTAACCAATTTACTACTTGGGAAAATGGTAATTAAATAATAAGAGCTTAAAGGACCGAAAAGGAACAAACGAAACAACTTTGCTCAGTTCAATCTCCCAACTTTTATTATTTTTATATCTTCACATCAAGGCTGTTCCACATCTGCCCTGGATGCTTATTTATGGCACGTGTATTTGGGGAGAACAAAAGATAACAACAACAAAATGAAAATCCAACAGCTGGTAGATTTATTGAAAATAATTTACAGTTTCTGTTAATTCACTTGCATGTAATAGGATAATTAGTCATAGCCCTTTGCTCTCCCTAATTCTAAAATTTAGAGTCCTAATGAAGAGACCAATTGTCCCGTGGGAAAACACAAAAGAGCTAAATGTTATGAAGCAGAAGGGCACATTTATTTGCTTAGGCAGTTCAGTCCCTAGAAGAACATATATAACGAGCAGTGAGAGAAATCAAGGCCAAGGAAAAAGACGGGTAGCTGGAAATGTATGGAAGGAAAAAGGGAGCAGCCTCAAGACCAGGAGAGATGGGCAGGAAGCTCCTCCCACAGCTAAGACTAAGGGACCTCCCCCTTCTCTACGTAATCCTGGCAACACTGTCTGGATCAATGCCTACTTATGGGGCCACATGATACACTTTCAAAGGCAGACAAAGTCAAAAGTGTTTAGAGAACAGACTAGCACTTGCACTAATGGTGCAGTATAGTAAATAGAAAAGGAAAGAAAGAAGAAAGAAAGAAAGAAAGAAAGAAAGAAAGAAAGAAAGAAAGAAAGAAAGAAAGAAAGAGCAAGCATCTCTGAGTTTCCTTTATTAAAAAATAACTTACAATAAAGGAAACAAAATACCTTACAATAAATATTATAAAATAGATAAAACCCTGTCCCTAGCTAACACCTACCTTAAAAAAATTGAACAAATTAAAACAGATTCGAACATCTCAGGTGGTAAAGCACTAATAAAAAGTGACTTTACATAATTCTGTTTTTACTAATTTCTCAAAAACTGACAGGGAAGGTCTCTCACAAACCTCTGTAGAAAGCTTGTTCCAAAGGGAAAAGGCCACAACAGAAAAAGCACAGCTCCTGGCATTAACCCTTTTGGCCTCCTTGGGTGTCACTATTTTTAACATCATGGACTGTGATGAGTGGGTAGGACAGGTAGCTGTCTTGTGGAGAGACTTCTGACAAATATCAAGGACCTAAACTGTGAAGAGCTTTATGGACCATGACCAGCATCTTAAATTTGGCAATTTAAACTAGCACGGAGCCATTGAAGGTATGCTAAAATTGTGTTCATAGTTGCTGGTACTTGTGATCAGTTTGTTCCTCCCTCCAATTTGGACCTGCTGAAATTTCTGTACTACCTTTAGGGGCAGCCCTATGCAGACAGCATTACACTAGTCTATTTTAGACATTACCAATGCATGAAGCACTGTTGTTAGGCATTTCTTATCCAGTTACTGGCACAGCTGGGCAATCCACCAAACTTTTTATTGTGTGAAAAGCCCACTTTGTTTAAGCTTGCTGCCACCTGCACTTTACATATCTACATCATAATGACATAGCAATAAACTCTGACTTCAAACTAATGTATCCTATCCAAGTAGATATATCTTTAAATAATTGTATAATCCTGTGGTTGTTGTTATCCACCACTGTTCATCACTTTTATTTTTATTTATAATCCACTTCATGTAACACTTTGCAAAGACTCTTGCATTAAAAAGTAAAAAACAAAAATATAAATAAACAGACAAACAAAAACACCTGCAGAATATTCCAGCAAGCTTACTCTGGGGAACAGTAAAAAGAGAAAGGCTAAAATCCTGCTACTTACCGTAAATCACACTAGAAAAGACCCACTGAATCGGTGGGGATTTGGTAAGTCAAGTCCTTTGTAAGTTCCACTGATTCAAATGGGCCTATTCTCGTTGAAATTTACTATGCTAAAATACGTCACAACAAGAGCAGGCCCATTTGAATCAATGGAACATATTGAAGGGTTGATTCCCCAAAGCCCACTAATTCGATGGTCCTAACTCAAGTGTGACTTACTATGTTAAACAACAGGAATTCAACCAAAGAATAGGGGACGCTAGAGAAATCTCATATAAGACATAGAGAGGGCCAGGAAACCATATACTGTATACAGTGGTGCACCACATAGTGACAATAATCCGTTCCGAAAAAATCATCGCTATGTGGATTTGTCGCTATGCGGGGCAAAAAAGCCCATAGGAACGCATTAAAACACGTTTAATGCGTTCCTATGGGCGCAAAACTCACCATTATGCGGAAATCCTCCATGCGGCCGCCATTTTCGCTGCCCAGTATGTGAGAAAAGGGTGCGAAAACACTGCGGGCGGCCATTTTTCCGGCGGCCATTTTGGAACAGGCGATCAGCTGTTTTCTAAAACATCGCTATGCGGAAATCGGTAAGCGAAACGCTTACCGATCATCGCAAAGCGATTTTTTGCCATTAAAAAGATTGCAATGCGATCGCTTTTGCGATCACAAAAAACAAATCGCTATGTGATTCTTCGTTAAACGGGGTGCTCGTTAAGCAAGGCACCACTGTAGTTCTGAAGATTCACAATCTAAGCCACATGTGTCAAACTCAAGGCCCACAGGCTGAATCTGGTCTGTTTCATGAGGCTCTCACAGTGTTGCCTGCTACTGTGCAGCATACAATACACAGGCGCTTACTCGGTCACCCGTAATGCTCTGCAAAGATGCTGGGAATCTGCCCAGCAGGAATTCTAATCCCAGTATTCCAAGCAGCGAAGAGTCAAAAAGTGCAGTTGCTTGGGTGTCGTACAGCACCTTGGGAAATGTAGTCCTCGCTACTGCCCTCCTGTTCTTATGGCTCCCTGCAAGGACTGTTTGATGGCATTGCCTAGCAGCAGCCATCTCTGCCTCCTCTCCAGCATCAGCTGCAGAAGTGAGTGAGGTGCCAGATGATAACAAGGGCTGTGGCAAGTGCAAGGGAAAGGTGGGAGACCTCTGTGAGTAATTAACAAAGACTGTAGTTCTGAAGATTCACAATCTAAGCCACATGTGTCAAACTCAAGGGCCACAGGCTGAATCTGGTCTGTTTCATGTGGCTCTCACAGTGTTGCCTGCTACTGTGCAGCATACAATACACAGGCGCTTACTCGGTCACCCGTAATGCTCTGCAAAGATGCTGGGAATCTGCCCAGCAGGAATTCTAATCCCAGTATTCTAAGCAGCGAAGAGTCAAAAAGCGCAGTTGCTTGGGTGTTGTACAGCAGCTTGGGAAATGTAGTCCTTGCTACTGCCCACCTGTTCTTATGGCTCCCTGCAAGGACTGTTTGATGGCATTGCCTAGCAGCAGCCATCTCTGCCTCCTCTCCAGCATCAGCTGCAGAAGTGAGTGAGGTGCCAGATGATAACAAGGGCTGTGGCAAGTGCAAGGGAAAGGTGGGAGACCTCTGTGAGTAATTAACAAAGCAAACAAACATGGGTGGGGCTGTGGAGTGGGTGTCAACAGGTGTCACTAAAACTCACTTTTCAATAAATTGTACAATAGTTGTAAACTTGAATATCTCCTTGCCATTATTTCTAGACTTTGATCATAGACTTTTACTTTCAGAGCTAGTTATTACTTATGTTATTACTAAAACCAGTAATAATCGAATGAGGAGGATTATGTTTAATACGATAAAGATAGATACATTTATATAGTCTTACAGATAGAACTGGCCCTTTGAGGGCAACCATAATGCCTCTGCAGCCCAAGACGAAATTGAGTATGACACCTCTGATCTAAGCGAAGCACTTACTACAATGAGCCTGTGAGTTTTATAAGCTAGAGGACCAGTGTGGTGTAGTGGACAGAGTGCTAGACTTAATTGGGGGACACCGACATTCAAATGCCTAGTCAGCCACAAAGCTGTCTTGATGACCCTAGCTTAGCCAACATCTGTGCTATCTTCCAGAACAACAATGAAGATAAAGTACAAGCTCAAGCATATCATACTCATTCCAGGAAGGTCAAGAGACACACAATAAACCAAATTCTTATTGTCATGATTCTAACCAAGGGCTACACTCAAATTCCAAGTCTATTTAAGATGAATGGCATTCTAAAATTCAACACTAGTACTGTGCCTTTCAAAAACAAATACTTAATTTTGTGCTTGTTGAACCAATGCCTAGACCTTATGCAAGGCAAAAGTACAGAAAGAGTCTGGTTAAATGACAAGACTCTTCCATAAAAATGTGCATTTTACAATTACTATTTAGTCAGGCAGCTTCCTATAGTCATTTAATACATTTAGGGGAATCAAAGAAAACCTAAATACCTGCAGAACCTCCAGACAAACTGTGAGAAATGAGAGAGATTCTTGGAACCTGTATGTCAGATTAGTTTGCTTTCTCTGACATTTAGTAAATATGGGCTTCCAGGCAAACGACATCCATCTTTAGCTAGTACATCCAATGGTAAGTTGTGGTATAGGAACTACAGTTCAACAACATTTGGTTGTTTGCATCTAGACTAAGGAAATAAAACCTTTTCAATCAATTTAAATACTAATGTCCTAATTAAAGCTGGGGGAGGTGTACAAGATTCCAATTCCAAACACTACAGAGCAGGGGCCCGCAAAGCACGTGTGGTTCCCCCAAACGCATTTCTGCAGGCCCCAAGTTCCCAATAAATCTCCCGAATGTAATTTTTTAAACTTTTTGTTTTCAAATATAGGGGATTTGTGTAGCTCCACCCAACAGAGGCTCAGGACAAACATTTGGGCTGAAGTTGCCCACACCTTTACACAGAGCAATGGCCTGTCTCTGGAGGAAACACAGTTTTCCTATTCCTGTTTATATTGACACTTTCCTTTATTTGAGGTGGCTACAAGTGCATTATGATTTTTAGTCTACTCCCACCCAACCCTACAAGCTAGGAGTGTTCGGTTCTTTAATTGAAGCGACTGCTGATGCTTTCTCAAAAGATAGCCTTCCTTCTTGGCTCACACTCTCAAAAACTTTAGGCTCAATTAAGCAGTTCTTGGCAGGGGAGGGGAGGGTGTACAGCATGAAAAGTTCAGACTGGTAAAGACCTTGCGTTGTCCCTATGCTGAAATATGTCCTCTATACCCAGTATACTTTTCCAGCACTCCATAAACCCTTGGGAGTGAAGAGAAACAGTGTTCTATCCTTTAGCCAGACAAAAAGACTGAGATTCATGCTGACCTGAGTAACTTATCGCTGTTTTAGAAAATGGTGTATGGCCACTGTTTTATAATACCTCTTTGCTGAATATACTTTTCAGATTTTCCTTTGTAGCCATGGGAATCTAGATGCCAGATGCAGGGATAAAGAAGGGGAAAGAGAAACAGCGGCAGCTCTCAAGCTGAAATTACATACTACCTTGGCAGACACCCATGTTTGCTGAGGTAATATGTAGTCTTGGCTGCAGGAAGCCAAGTTTTATGCAGGTTGCAGATTCCAGGCTGGATAAGAAGAGTTACGTCTGCTTGGATACACAGAATCTGGCATACTTTCAAACTAATCCCCCCACTGCCCCAGAAAAGCTCAGTAACATTCTTCCTCAGCTGAAAATAGTGAGTCTTGGGTCGCTGGTTCAGAATGCACAGGAGACATGCCGGCAATGTTTGGTTTCAAAGAAACAGGCTTGGAAGCACTGTACCACCCAAAAGTAGAAACACCTGACAGCGTGAGAACCTTCTAGGCAGACTCCTACCTAGAGGACACTCAAAGATGGGAACTTATTGTGACTTTGCTACACAGTCACCCACCTGGGAACAAGGCAAAGGCAACCTGTAAGAACATCTCTAGATCCACCTCTTTACCTGAAGAAGAGACGAAGAGACCTCATCTGTCCCAGATCAACTCTGAAGACTCCACAAATCTGTTCCAAGGCAAACACCTTCTGCTGTTCATCCCACCTGGAGGTCTGCACCTGCCCATTATTCTCCTGGAACTGTGAGCTGGGTTCAGTGCTTGAATTGGAGCTGGTTGAACGAGTCATGTTGCCTTCACATGGATCTCTAAACCAAAATAAGATTAAACCAAAAGGAAAGGAAGATACATAAAACTGAAAGCTGCTAGTCACTGTGGTGTAGTCATCAAGCATTTGGTTCCAATCTAAAAAAAAATGTGATTCAATCTGTCTTAGCTATGATGCCCCCATTTTTTGGCCTGGGCAAGTCACCTGTCCCTACCTAGTCTTATCCCCAAGGTCCGTGGTGAGGACAAGAATGTAAATAAAAAATAAAAACAGATGATTCCTTTCTTCTACTAACTTTCACTTTAATCTGTAGCTGTGGCCTTCCTCAAGTTGCAAAGTGGCATCCACAGAGGTATCCAAACTGATTTCAGGTCCCTAAACCTGACCCCCCCAACAAAGAATTGACCCCCATCTTCTTATCCACCTCCTGCCAACACAAAGTCTCCCTCCAATTGATATCTGTGTTAAGAATCCAGCAAGGATGAGCAATCCTATCTGAACTAGCAGCCTTTGTGCAACAATGCAGAAAGGACAAAATTATAAAAGTCAATTTACTGTAATGGTTAAAATATGGCAACTGAGTCATGGAAGATCCAGCTTCAAGTTGCCAAAAAGATTTGATCAATAACCTTGGGCCGGTTGCTCTCATTTAGCCTGACCCATCTCGCAGAGTTATCACTGTGAGGGTAAAGGATTGGGCCGGTTGCTCTCATTTAGCCTGACCTGTCTCGCAGAGTTATCGCTGTGAGGGAGGAGGAAGGAAGCTGCCTCAAACTCACTGGAGGAAAGGCAGCATATACTGTACTTGCAACTAATAATAAACCAGAACATTAAAATGGGGGATGTTTCAAGTGCTTTTGCAGGGAGAGGGGGCAAAAACAAGGCAGTGTGTACTCTATCTTAGGAGCAGAGTAAGCCCACTCATGTTCAAGATACATTTCATCCCACAGACCAGTGGTCCCCAACCTTGGGCCTCCAGATGTTTTTGGACTATAACTCCCAGAAGCCTTCACCACCATCTCTGCTGGCCAGGATTTCTGGGAGTTGAAGTCCAACAACATCTGGAGGCCCAAGGTTGGGGACCACTGCCATAGACAACCACATGCCCTTGGGTAAGGCCAATTCCAGGCCACAGACCTCCCATTTACAAAATGGAAGTGGCCGATGTCTCTCTCACTTTCTTCTGAGTGCAAAGGAGGTGGTTGTAAAGCACTAGGAGAATGCTAGCTTCTCACAGGTTTCATCAGCAAACACTATGTGAACAAAGAAAACTGCCTCCCTCAGTTCAGCGCTGTCTACCCTAGCTAGCAGCAGCTCTTCCAGGTCTCAGGTCAGATCTGTCCCAGACTGTTCAGCAAGATATTCTTTTGCTGGTTCTCACTCGTTCCCTGTTAATTTCCATGTTCAATTCAAGGTGCTGGTTATGACCTATAAAGAACTTAATGGTTTGGGATTTCAATACTTGTCTGTCAGAAATCAACTATCTGTTTCAACCGTTCATCTCAGTGGCCAGACTCATGGCAGCTAAAAAGGCAACAAGGAACTGGGTCTTTTCGGTGGTGGCCCCCAGTCTTTGGAATAAGTTACCAACTGAGATATGTAAGGCTCCTTCCTGCCTTATATTTATGAAATCGGTGAAAACAGAATTATTCAAAGCTGCTTTAAACAACTGATTTTCCTGTTCCCCTTTCTATATCCATTTTAGCCCTATACCACTAGACTACATGTACTATATTGTTGAATGTAACTTGTTAGGAAAGGGTTTTGTAGATTTATGTTTTAACTAGTAAACTGCCCAGAGTAGTGCTTGCACAAATGGGGTGGCATATACATCAAATAAATAAACCAATAAATACTCTGCCATTCAGCTGCAGGGCCTCCCTTTCCAAACAAAATATTAAGTGTCACATAAGCACTCCAGAAAGCAAAGTCAAGGGATGCTGGCCACAACATGCACTTGCTTATTTAGGCATTTCTTTACAGACTCAAACATCAAGCAATAAAAAGTGATGCACTGAAAATCTGGACATGTATTTGTGGGGCAGAAAGAGGACGCATCTCTGTCTGTATTTGCATGTATTCGGTAAGTGTGCATGTAACATCTCGTTCTCTCTCTCTCTAAGCATGCCACTTTTGTTCCATTGTCATCATTGTGGCAGAAAATGGCTGACTCACCAGAAAACGGGCACTGGTCTTTGTGGACTGAATCCAGAAAGAAAGAGCTGTTATAGTCACAAAGAAAAATTTGGTACCAAAGGCTGGAAATGAATCTATTTTTTCTTTAAAATAAAAATATTTTTCTGTAAAATAAAAATAATTCCCACAGTGTTCACATTCTTGAGGGTTTAAAAAAAAAACCTCCAACATACGGACCTAAAATTTAAATATATGCAAACTTCTCTTCAGCAAAGCTATTTCAAATGTCTTGTTTACTGCAGCTTGTTTTTTTTTTAACAGACGCCACACCAGACAACACAGTTCTAACAACCTTACTCTAGCAATGTAAAATGGGATACCACACAGACAGGAAAAGTGGCAGCTGTGTAACCGAAAATATTGGGAGGAACAAGCCAGACATAGTGTTTTCCATCCAGTTAAGTAACTGAACTCAGGAGACGGGTTGCCCCACCCCCATCCGCTCAAATGGAGTCTGGAGTTTAGATTTCAGAAGCTAATTCATTCTCTCCCCTGCAGAATACCGCCCCCGCCCCAAGAAAAACAGCAGTGCTCTGGGAAATAAGTGAATCTGAAACTGTGACCTCTAGCATCTTGAAAAGGCCAATCGAGTTGAACAGCCTGAATGGACTCTACTGTGAAATCATGGGTTTGCAAAACAAGGCAAGGAGCAGGTATAAAAGCAGCCCCCTGAAAAGCCACTTTATGCAGTGTTTTCTAATCCGCTTACTGAACAATATAGGCACTGAGTGCTGAAGAAATCACACACTCAGCATGGCTGTGCAGAACACCCCCCTTCAGTATGCTTTCGTGTCCTTACAACCGTGCCCCCGAATCCAGGGCCACACTGGGCTTTGGAAGAGCCTTATTTTTCACATTCACCTATGGTTTGGGTCACTGCATTCCCAGAGATCCCAGACGGAGGGCTGCATTGTTAACAGAAGCCCCCCCCCGGGGGGGAAAGACCAAATTCAGCAATACAACTTAAGACCCGTGTGTTCATGTACACACACATGCATATGTGCACACACATGTGCATCTACATGCGCGCATACATGGCCTACAAGACAGTCAAAAGAATCAACATCCCAGCACACATTAACATTCCAATAAATGCTGTTACTCTAGATGGAAATAAATGCTCTTAACAAGTCCATTTTCAGTTTTAGTCCTTTTGCGCATTTCCTGTGGTTTCTGAGAATTAATTCACATCCTTTTTGTTCTCTGCCCCCCCTCCTCTGCCCTTTACCCACAATATCAAACTCCTCCAGTCCTTCTGCCCTTGTAAACATTTTCCCCTTATCCAAAACAACCTTTGCCTCACAGTAACAATGCCTGTTACTGAGATTGTGGAACTGACAGAGATAAAAGTGAAAACATTTTTGCATATTTAGGGATAAAACAGCAGCATAACCCATAATAAATAAATATCAATAGTTGCCCCTGAAGAAACCCATCTTTTAAATCCCATTACTCCCAAGTTTCTCCCTCCCTCCCTCTCTTTTAAATATTCCAAGAAATAAGCCACATCCTTCAAAAACAAATGCAGACATTACCCAAGGACAGACTTCATTTGGAACACCTTTTAAATACTGTACACCTAACATGCAGAACACAATGTCACTGAACATCCAACTTGAATAAAAACAGATACAATATCTTTGGTGCTATAAATGAGCAATCAAATACAGTACTAGATGTGCAACAGTCTTACATACAGACCTGTTAAGTGACCTGGGTGTTTACAGGAATCAGTTAAGATGAGGGGGCCATGATGGGATCAAATGCTCCCTTCTCTGCAAAGAAGTATTACATCAGCTTTGATGCTAACCATGGTTAAGATGAGTCCGATTTTTCATTCACCAGGCTTGCTAACAGCTTAATGTCCCAGCTAACAATCTAGTGAAGCATGGCACCCAGCTAACCACCTCACTGGTATTTTTTGTGATAACTGAGCATAGTCACGAGGATTAATGTAGAGGGATCAATGCACCCTATATTCTGTTCCCCAAAGAGACTGCTCCTATCACATTTGCACTGGTCCAAAATGTTTACATGGCCATGCATTAGCATACAAAGGATTTCAGTAGACTCTCTAGGAACACAAAAGTCTTTCTTGTCTGAACGCTAACAACCTACTTTCTCCCAGCATGATAATAATGTGTATTACTCCGTCCTGTTGCTCCCTGTCAATAAAACCCAAGATCAACAATGCTTCTGTTTCATCTTGATGCTTTGGATCCATGAAGCGACTCTGGAATTGTGTTTACCCAAAACCTTCTTGGGTGACATTTGATCCCCTCCACTTTGATCTCCTCAAGCTGGAACATATATCCAGGAATCAACAAAGCTAGGAAGCATTTAAAGACTCAATGAATACTTTTGGAAGAGGTAGCCATGTTAGTCTGTACAAGCATATCAGAAAAGCAACAAAATAAAACAGAGGCAAGAACAACAAATATAAAATAACAAATAAAGAAGACAAAAATATTGCGGCACCTGCCTGATATTATTGAGTACTGTAGCTGAAGTGATAATGTAATTAAACAAAAGCAGGAACAAGTGTCACTGGCTTAAGTCAGAATGAGAAGAGACATCTTAGAACAGCATCACATGGAAAGGAAGGGGTGTTCCTCATATTATGCTGCTTTGATTAAATTACCACTGGGCTGCCAGATGCTAGTATTACTGCAACTCCCATGATCCCTCACCATTGTGCTGGCAGGGGCTGAAGGGAGTTGTAGTCCATTAATCAATTCCAAAGAGGCCATACATTTCCAGCTCTTAACTCCCACAGGTATAGTGAAGGTGAGCATGTCATGTAATTTAAGAAGCAGAAATTGGTCCTAGAAAGCAAAAATGTGC